GAGAATTGAATAACTCTCTCCCTGCTGTGAAATGCAATCAGATGGTTCCAAAGACCATTCTCTATTAAATTCTGTAAGTCTGGGGAGCAGTTTCTTGAGAACCTAACTACATTTCTGTAGCAGCCTAAGGGGTTCCTCACTGGTACATTTGACAGAACTTTTCCATAAGGAACTTTTAACATATTTCATTGACAAAAATCTAGAAAGGTTCTGAATTCGCACTAGCAGCCTAACAGACATAGAAAAAGTGATTGGGAGAATTTGGTCCTCATTGTTTATCCTTCACAGCAGGGAAAGAGATGGAGGGTGAAATTCTGGCCCTGTTTATATGATAGTAAATGGCAAAACTCCCAGTGACTTCCATGTGGGTAGGACATCACCCAGTCAGGTTAAAGTGAAATACAGAAAAGAAAGGCTGGTTTCAAGGGCACTGTTGACTGGGCTACATTGCTGTGTTCACTTTTTCTTTTTTAATACAAAGACAGGTGTTTTCGTGACGTTTTAAATAAAGTGAAACAGGGATTTTCAGGGAGGAGAATGTAATTAGTTCCCTGCAATTCCAAAACCACAGTGGATTGGCAGCTTCTCCCTCCTCTCTCTCTCTCTGTCTCCCACACCTAAGTAGAAACTGATCATTTTCCTTTTACAAACTGATTAGAAATGTTGCATCACTTTATTTTTCTCAAGCAACTGAGTGTGTGTGTAGGGAACAAGATGACGATTGGAAACTGACTAATCTTTAGTCAGTTGTTTCTCTCTACCCCAGGACTGTGTCACTGGAGTTGCCAATCCCATCAGGCACCCTGATGCTGCAGTAATGGACGCAAATACAAAACCCTTATACAAGCAGACTACGAGCAGTTTGATGGTGTGTTAATTTTTCACAGCACACAACGCTTTGATTCAGCATGTTCTTTGTGGGATATGAAGGGTCTTTGGCGGGATTTCTGAAATGGGGGAGGGAAAGGGGGGAGACAATGGGAACCCAGCCCTCAAAGTAATTTTTTAAAGAAGCTTTAGGAAGTTCTTCATTAGGAGTGAGAGACCTGGTTCCACTAGCATCACAGTCCTGATCTCCACCTCCCTCTGTTGTACAAGGCCGGTCAGAAAACGGATAACAAAAAGTGCCAAAGTTATTTATGTTGCAATATTTTAATCAATATTGACTTTTTGTTTGTTTGTTTGCCACAGACTGTTTTTGCTAAACAAGGAAATGTCAGTAATGATCACAAAAGTTGTTGTGACAATAGTGTTGCTAGAACTGTCAATTCAAATACCACGATAAATGGAAACTTTGGATAAAGGCCAATTTTTTGTTTGCAAAAGGTTTCTTTTTTCTTTTTTAAATGCCCTATTTCAATTAAGAACTTTTTGTGGGAAAACATTTCCGCCCAGCTCTTCAGCTAAACTTCTCTCCCCAAACTGAAGCAAATCTCTTTCTGAGTAATAAATACATTTGGTTAAAGGGACACAGACAGTAATAATGGGAGAGCGGTAATGTGGTCTGGAGAAGAAGAGCCCAGATTATGATTTCGGAGATTTAAATGCTATCCCTCTTTTTCTGACTCACTGTGTGACCTTAAACAAGTCACCTCCCCGCTCCGTGTCTCCGTTTCCCCATCCATACAATGGAGATAATGCCATTTATAAACCTATTTTACAATGCTTTGAGCACTACAGATTAAAAGCATTATAGAGTCCTGGGTACTATTTAATTATATTAGTAAAACAAATTCTTATCTGCGTAATTATGAACACTCTGGGGTCTTAAAAAACAAAGCTGGTTAAAATCTAATTTACTTTCCATACCTAAAACTGCTTCTTCCGCTTGTTGTGCGTAAGCTGATGGTACTTAACTCATGGTAAGTTTTACTTCCGGTTGTAGTGAGATTCATTTTCAGCTTGGCTATTCTTTTGCAGTAGCCTTTGGGTTATAAAAACATCTGGGGAATATTTAAATCCAAACCAAAAGCTGTTTGCATTGGAGTTTAACAACAATAATAGAAATATTTCTGTTCAGCAAAGAAATGATTTTTTAAAACCTTGTTCTTCCTAAATCTACGTTTAGGATGGTGATGGTAAAACACCATCCATAGATAAGTAGGAAACACTCTACCTTGCACCAGATGCTTAATCTCTCTGTGGTTCAGATCCCGGTTTGTAAAATGGGGCTGATGATCATTCTTTGTTTCTGCCTCCTTAGTCTGGAAGCAGTTTGGGGCAGGGACTGTCTCTCTTCTGTCTGTGCAGCGCCCTGCGCAATGGGGTGTTGATCTCAGTTCGGACAGGTGACAAACAGCCCATCTTTGTCTAATCACCACATGGCCTATGCCCACGAGCGGTGAAGAAGAAAAAGGCTATGGACGAAGTGCCGGCTCTATGCAAGGTTCTCCTCTTGCAAGGGGGGAGCGATAGCTCAGTGGTTTGAGCATTGGCCTGCTAAACCCAGGGTTATGAGTTCAATCCTTGAGGGGGCCACTTAGGGATCTGGGGCAAAAATCTGTCTGGGGATTGGTCCTGCTTTGAGCAGGGGGTTGAACTAGATGACCTCCTGAGGTCCCTTCCAATCCTGATATTCTATGATTCTAAGGTTGTCTGGTGTTGGTTCTCCCCATTCAGAAGGAGGACATCGTTCCCTGCTAGCCCAGGTGCTGTACATTTAAAGTCCTCTCACCTAGGCCTACTGCTCTGCCAGTGTGAAAAGGGGATGGATGTTTTACAGCTGTCTGTCAGCACACTGGGTGGAGTCTGAGAAAGAGCATTTAAGGGAAGCTTGGCTCAGCTATCAGATCTTTTCACTGCTGTTAAATATTTGCCAAGAGGGAGCAGCTCTGGGTAAATCCCCCTCCGAGCTTTGTTTGCCGCCAAGGTTTCTGTTTCAGGAGCTTGGTTTGAGTGTATCTGTTGCAGTAAAGTAAGAACCAGCCTGGACCTTCACCCCCAAATCAAACATCCCTCCTTCCCGACAGGCACCAAACGGGATTTCATTCTATTTCCATGCTGCTGCTGAGGTTTGAGGGGAGAAAATCCTGAAACACTGTGAGCAAAACTTTGCCAACCCACCCAGAAGCAGCATCGACCAGGGAGAGGCTAATCCGGAGAGATCTGCAGCCCAGATCTCTGGACATCAGAAGTTTGGATAGTCTGGATCGGATGTGGCTGAGCATCAGAAATGGGAGGGGGAGGGGGAGGGGGTCTTTCTTGGGGCAGAACCTTTGACCCCCCCCATTGTGGTTTGAACTAGGCTGCTGTGTTTGGGTGTAGTTTTTTGCAGTATTACTTGTTTTGTGGCAGCGCCCATGAGCCCCCATCATCGACCCGGGCCCCACAGCGCTAGGCGCTGTACAATCAATCACAGACCCAAAAGAAAGCCCGTCCCTACTCCAAAGATCGAGGTATGACAAGCGACAAGAGGCAGATACCAACAGGGGGAATACAGGAGGACAATGCGAGTCAGTTGGGAGTCTCTCTTTTCCAGTGTAACCAGAGATTGGCCGCAAACTCCAACTGGAGCAAGACGCCCCTCCTGGCTCAGGGGTAGTCAAAATCCGTGGGTGGGATCTTGAATTTTGGGGCTGGGTCCAATCAAAAGGTCTCCCCTTTGCCACAGGGGCTGGTCGAGCATGGGGCCTGGGACCCCAGGGGACAGAGTGGGGCTGGCGTGGGCCTGGGAGCCCCGGGCTGGGGGTGGGAAGGGAGGGTGTGGGGCTGGCATGGGCCTGGGACCCCCGGGCTGGGGGTGGTAAGGGAGGGTGTGGAGCTGGCGTGCGCCTGGGACCCCCGGGCTGGGGGTGAGAAGGG